CAGCACCACATACACAGAAAGTAAATATGTAACTACTTAACCAATTAAAAAACAGTGCCACCTCAAGTCCCTCTATTTATGGATAACCACTGTTACCATTTGGTGAATATGGTTCTATTTTATTATTTTGGTGATAATATCATACCACTATTGAAGTTTACTCATTTTCATTAGCATTCTTTCATTATTGAAATTTTAAGTTGTTTCCAGTTTATACTTTCACACCAATAGAATATGAGTTCCAAGTTTCCCCATTCTTATGGCAAAACTGACTTTTGTCAATAATTTCCCATCTTTATTAGTCTAATAAGCAAAAAAGTCAGATTTCATTACATTTTTGTCATTGTGACTATAGTTGAACATCTTTTTTTTTTTTTTTTTTTTTTTAGTATCCTGACCATTTCTTTGTGAATTACTTGTTTATGGCTATTTTCTATTTGGGGCTGTTGCTTTTAACAGTTTTTATATATTTTTAACATTAAAACTTTTAAATCTCTGTTGCAAATGTGTTTTTCACCTTATATTTTGTCTTTGAATTTTTTCTTTATTTTTACTGTTCAGCATCTGTACATTTTGTAAACATTATCACATTCTTTGCCTTTGTTTTTGTTTTGCTTTTGTTGTATAACACTATTTTATAATCACCAGATAATTCTCATTCACATTATCTAGATTTTTGAAAGTGGTTATAATTGTGTAAAATATAGAACCTATTTTGTTTATATTCATCCTCATTATATTTTTCTGGACAGAAACACATGGATATATGTTCAACTCCGGCACTGCACAGCCCCCCAGTGTACTGTTTTTCAGACCCAAAGAAAGAACTTGGAGGACTGTCAGAGAGGTTTGAACATTTTATTATTCACTCCTTGCCAGCAGCAGGCCAGGATATAATGGAGAGCTGCACAGTGCCTACAAGCTAGGGAAATATAGTTTGCATGCCCAATGTGCAGGTGACTATCTTTGGATGTTTTATGAGTATATTCCTTTACAACCAAGGTCACTCTCTTCAGATCCTTTCCCAAGGATTGGAGATAAGGGAAGTGGCCAGCTCCCCCTTCCCATTTCTCTCTTATACATTCTTTTAGAGACCTTTTTCTCACTGCAAGCTTTCCTAGGCACTGATTAGTTTTTAACGTAACAGTGTGGTATGGAACAGCATTGTTGAGCCTGGGATCCTTGTACACATGTGGAATCCCTGTCTTCATGGCAAATTTCTGGAAATCAATCTCTCTCCACCCCCATAACACCCTTTGGTGCTGGGGATAGAACCCAGGACCTCACACATGCTAGCACACGCTGTACCACTGAGCGACATGCTTCTTAAAGTCTGTGTAGATGCACTTGTAAATGTTGATTAGTGTATTGGTGGGTCACCACCTCATGAATGGCACATGGGTCATCTCACCACCCATCTTGATGAGAGTCATTCTTCCAGGCCTAAATTGGAAAGCTGCATTTCTGGGTTTTGACCTTTGTAGCTTAAAAGAGTTTAACCCATCTCGAGTTTATATAAATTTTCACCAAGTACTTTATATATATATATATAGCTCATTCTTTAAAAATTTAAATATTTAATTCATCTATTATAAGTTTATAGAACTTTTGATTCTCCATAAAATACTTGAGAAATAAGTTTCTTAACAAGTGGATTTGTTCTTTATTTTTTGGAAGATCCACTACTAAAGCTCTTTTAGGCCCACTGAGTCAATGCTGGAAAAAGAAAAGCAAGATAGATTTTTTTTAAAAAAAAGATAATATTTATGGTCTTCCTCCAAATCTCTTGACTGGTCTTTATTTACATCTGCATATAAATGTCACTTCCTCAGAAAGGCATTGAATAAAAAAATATATAGTTGATTCAACATTCAAGAAAGGTACTTACCTCCTTCACAACCTTAATATGATAGACTTCTCATTACTTAGCTCACTCAGTGCCAGTTATGTGTTGGGTAGTATTTCAGTCCCAGGGGTATGATAGTGCTCAAAACTATCAAAAGTCCCTGATTTCACAACACTTATTGTGGAAGAGTGAAATAAATGTAAAATCTGTCAGTCTTTGGTGCTTCTATCTAAAGAAGATGATCACCCCCATTATTCTGATTCCTGTTCCTTTCTTACTAGCACTTATCACTACTCACCTCATCCTGTCTGCTTATTTAGTGTCTCTTCTCCCACTTGGATGTGCACTCCATTTGAGCAGGGACCTTTTTCTGTCTTGTTCATCACATATCCCCTGCACCTTGAATAGATTCTGGCACATAAGAGCCATTTCTAAATACTTAAAGTCAATGACTGGCTTTAGAAACATTATTGCAGTATTTTTTCAATATGTTAATTTCTATTGGTGTGTGGAAGAAACTAACATGCTTAGCAGTATATCTGGACTTATAAATATGATGTATAGATTGACTACCTAACTATCTTAAAAGTACGACTATGAGTGAAGCTGTTCACATCAGTCTTTATGTTAATTCTTATCAGGGTTTTAAATCAATGCGATTATGCTACTACTAGTGATAGCTCTGTTATTTGAGCATTCACTGTGTCAACCTGCATGCCAAGTAGTCTTGGTTCATCCTTTAAAAAACCCAGTCAGTAAGGGATTTTATTTATTGATTGATTTTTGATTGATTTGGTACTGGTGATTGAACTCAGAGGCTCTCTGCCACTGAGTTACATCCCTGGTCCTATTTGTGGTTTTGCTTTTTTGTTTTTGTTTTTCAGACAAGGTCTCACTAAGTTGCCAAGTATGGCCTTAAACTTGTGACCCTCCTGCCTCAGCCTCCCCAGTCACTGGGATTACAGACATTTTAACTAATACTGAATAAAAGGATAGATAGTAAAACAGGCAGCCACTTAAAAGCCAAAAAAGGGCTTTTCTTTAAATGTAAAGACCACTGTATAAAATTAACCTGGGGGGGGAGGGTGTCCACAGGGAAGGATAGGACTGGACAGACCTGAGTAAAGGCTATAGACCAGCACCCTACCTGATAGCTATATTAATTAATTTCTAGACTGGTACACTTGGGTGGCAACTTGCTATCGGGTCCCTTCTCCAGTGAGAGATCTGCTGCTTTTCTTCTCAAATCCTACTCCTTTCACTCTCACCTTCTTTGTCCTTGGGTTTCTTGCAATCCTAGAACAAAAACCCAGGAAGAAATCAGCAGGAAGCTGCTGGGGTCTCTGCAATACTAGATTAGGTGTGGGGGTTGCGTAGCCCACCACTGAAAGCTGCAACAGGTGACTTCAGTAGTAATGGAGATTAATCTGGCTTTTCTGGCTGCAATCCTGGGAACTGACCCCAGCCACCACTTCAATGTGCGAAAGCTGCTACCACTAAAACTGGCTTTGTCAACAGTAGATTCCTATAATTTAGATGGAGCCTACCCACCAGCAAAAGTGGAAAAATCTGGTTTCATCTCAAACTCCAATTTCACTATGGGGAAACTTGGGGATGTTAAGTGATTTACCCAAGAAGAAACCGTTGGGAGGCAACTGAACTGAAATTATGTTTATGATGATCAGGTTTCCTGGCTCCCAAAACTTGAAAGAGAAGTTGCAAAAAACAGAAGTTAAGATGTCAGTCTAGGGAATTCCTGTATCAAAAGTATCAGCTCCTTTTTGTCTTGCTAGCATCATCAGTGAGGGTGTGTTATATTAGTAGGATGCTTTCTTGATCCTAGAAAACTCAGAGGTTAAAGTGAAAGGAGAGGACAGATGGGTCAATGTCCTTGGGAGCCCCATACCTCCAAAGGCAGACAATGAAAACCTTAATGCTTAGTCAAGGGGAGTTGTCAGGTCATTTTGAAGAGAATTTAGAGCTGGATTTTTACAGTTTTATTGAGGCACTTACTTTATAGTTGAGCTTAGGAAATTTTAACACCTAAATACTCTTAATGTTTCAGACTCTTAATGTTTCAGACTATCTTTTCAGTCACCTATTTCCATGTATCTTAAGCCCCACTGAAAGTATTTCCTCAACAGACTTTTGTAGTGATCCAGGGGAATAAATGTTGAGATTATTTTCCCCTCACATTTTGGTTGTGAATGTCCTACCATTTCCACAAGGGCTTTCTCAAAATGCCCTTGCTTACAGAGGCTATTCCCTGTGCTGACCTATTGTGAACCCTCCCTTCTTAAAACTCATCATTTCTAAGAACTGAGTCATGCTCATTAGCATAATGCCATTTGTTATAGTTATCTACACACTTGTGTGATCTCATGTAGTAGCCTTTAAGCCAGTAGGTGGAAATGAAATATATATATACCTATCCCAGTGGTTTATACTTGGATGACACTAAATAAATGTGTTTCACCATTCCCAAATAGTATTTATATTTTGCTGACGTGATAATGCAGGAATGGGGAGGGATGTTCAGTCTTTCTGAATAGACTTTATATTTAGGCTGGTTAACTTTTAAACCAAAGAATATATATCCCCCTCAGCTTAGAATTGTCATTGCTTTAGAGTGGGCTTGGTCACAAGCCAAAGTAGAGTGTTTCACTCAGAAAACATTATATGCTGAGAATGTTTCAAAAAACTTTGTAGTCTACACATTTTTTTGTCAGCCACAAATAGTTCAGTAAGACAGTAAATATATTACCAATTCTCTTAATGATCAGTGCTACTTGGATTGGAGCTGGAGAATATCATTCTAAGTGAAATAAGCCAATCCCCAAAAAACAAAAGCTGAATGTTTTCTCTGATATGCTAATTCACAATTGGGGGGGGGGGCACTGCAAGGAAGAATAAAGTTACTTTAGGTAGAGAGGATTGAGGAGTGGGGAAGGGTTATGGAGGTAGGAAGAATAGTAGAATAAATCAGACATTATTCCCTATGTACATAAATAAGACCAGTGTAATTCTATATCATGTACAACCAGAAGAATGAGAATTATATTCCATTATATAAGATGTATCATACAAAAAGTGCATTCTACTGTCATGTATAACTAAAATAAAAAAATTAAATAAAAATTTTAAAAGGCAAGTGTGTTCTCATTAGCCCACCTGTACTAACTCCCTTTATTGGAAATTACACTTTCATATTTGTAGAATCAGATGAAGCAGTTGGCTTGGAGAGACCAGGTGTTTTGCTGAAGGTCACAGAAAATGAATAAGTCAAGCCCTAGAAGCTAAATGTGCTCACTGACTTGACTGTCCTAGACTGCTTTCCTCAGTTGTGAGCATGACACACCTCAAATACCTTTATGACTGAAAAGAACAGAGGCCAGGAGGTTTTTAATGATGTGCATAGAAGTTTCCAACACTCCTCAAAGTAGAGTGTACTTTTTCTCCTTGAATAGTAGAATGCTGTGGGAATGATGCTCTGTGATTTTGGAGTCTAGGTTAGAAATAGCAATACAACTTCTACCTGGCTGTCTTGGGAGGATTGCTTTTGCTGGGCAGTCAGTATACTGCAAGGAATCCTAGTTCTTGTGGAGGGGCTTGCTTGTGAGCATCCAAACCAGCAGCCTCCATTAACCACCAGTCCTGCAAGGAAGCCTTCAAGATTCCAATCCCAACCATCTGGCTGCAATTGCATGAGGCTCCAAGTAGAGTGGAAATCCCAGCTGAGGCCAGCAGGTGTGCAGGACCGAGAGATTATGGCATAGGTTATTATCTAAGTAGGGCCTGCCATTACAAAACACTGATAAGTTTGTGACTAGGCAACAGGTGGAAATTGGCAAAACTGAGGAAACTTGGTGGAAGCCTGATGGATCTTGGGCCTGTCAGGGCATAAAGAAAAATGAAGAAAATGTTATTAGAATTTGGAGGAAAGGATTTTTTGCTATGTCACAACAAAGGTTTTTGCAACACGACCACATTCAATATCATAGTGAATAAGAAATGTGTCTAATAATTCAAAGAATAACTATTCAGGTCTCCAGGCAGATTGTTGAAGGGCAACGTGTCTTCTATCTGCCTGAAATAAAAAGAAAAGCTGAAGCATTATTAAATAAAGGAACCAAGACTTGATAACTTTTTAAAATTGTTATTAACATTCTTATTCCAAGCCTGCCCAGATGGCAAAGGACACTGAAATTAAGAAATAGCTCCTGTCCAGAGAACAAACCCAGGAAAACATGTTCTGAAGATGAAGCCAAGGGTGTATCTGGAAGACCTCAGGGAGATTTTAGATGAGGCCCCAAAGACCCTTTCAACAGACCGGGCTGGGAGGTGTACCCAGTGGTAGAGTGCTTTTCTTGCATGTTTGAGGCCCCGGATTCATTCCTGCACTGCACACATACAAAGCCTTCCAAGTGTGTGCCTCATTGGTCCTCCCCATTTAATAAAAGATGAAGGAGAGGGCTTAAGAACCTTCATGGCCTTCTCCCAAAGCAGCATTACAAAGAGGTCAAGGTAGGAAAGCTTGTCCCAGAGAGATTTGTGGGTTTGGCATTTGTGTAATGGAGTAAATCTCTAGTAAGATTCACAGTAAACCACAAGTTTTTTAGATAACTATATTAGCAGACGTACCACAGCTTAGACTAGTAGGAATGAAAACAATAAAAAATGAAAAATAGCCTTTGAACCCTCAACTTCTACAAATAATCAACTGCAAACTCTAGCTGCTTTTTATTTTTGCAGGGCTGGTAATTGAATTCGGGTCCTCCTGCATACTAAGCAAGTGGTCTACCACTGAGCTACTCCCCAGACAATATTTTTTATTTGAACAGGAAAGAATTTAAAGGGCAGGCCCAAGAACTGAGAGGCAAAAATTGGAGTGTTCCCAGAGAACAGAACTGGACCCAAAGGTATTTCAGAATTGTTATGAACAAATGGCTATTATATGCTTCCCCTTGAAAAACATCAGATTGCTCACCTCCATCCCAGCAGCTCACCAATGTTGGGTGCATGAAGAGGAGTAGACAATTTTTCTCCTTAGTTATGGAACTAAAGATAGTGAGGATTAGTACTTGGGAAACTTCACCAGAGGGACTGGTTCTGTACCCTGAGCCAATTTACATGTCACGGGGTCCTATAGCACTAGCTTAATCCTGATGGGTTAAGAGGACTTCAGAAAATCTTGGAAGAGGTGACTGTTTTGCAGGGAAGGCTGCATCAGGCTAGAATGTAGACTAATGGTTTTAAACTGCCTGCAAATTCTTTTGACACTTCTCCCATTAGGAGAGATGGTGTCAGTTTCACTCTTTTGAGTATGGGCTGTCACTCTTGTCTAGCTAATTAGAGTACAGCAGAAGTGATACTTTATGACTTCATTAGAAAAGACTTTTACCTGTCTCAGGAATCTTCTCCTTGCTGGCAAGCTTCTGCTGTGAGAAATCCCAGGCAACATCAGCCACCAGACATATGAGTGAGGAGGTCTTCTAGATGACTCCAGCTCCAGCCAGCATCTGACCACAAGCAAATGAGGAAAGCCCAAAGAACTACCTGAGTCCAGAGAGGTGATAAGGCGTGACTATTGTTTTATACCACTAGGTTCAGGGTATTTGTTGCACAGCAACCAAAAACTAGAACAGATCTCTGAAACACTGAAGAGAATCCACCAGATGGTCCTGGACCCTCTCCATGTATGGCTGTTTATTTCTCAGTACCCACTGGATATGTCTTCTCTGATGCCCTGTTGGCCGGAGGTTCTTATCAACCAAAAGCTTCTCCTTGTCTTAGAATCTTGGCATTTTTGAGTCATAGTAAGAGAAATGTATAGACTTATTATCAAAAAATTGGCTAACTAGGTTACATCAGTAAGTGCTACTATGTTCTAGAGAGAAAAAAATGGTACTAGTTTCAGCAGTGGTTCAGGGCAGTTAACCTTCTCTAAGCCCTTGCTGAGTGTCACTGGCTCATTATAGAGACTTGTTAGCCACAAGTCAGTTAACATGCCACCTAGTTAATGTATTTTTTTATTATTACAGGACTGAAATGGGTTGCATATAATTGTTTTGAGCTTTTTTTATGGAACAATTAATGTGTATAGATACGTATTAGATGTCCAGTTCTCATCATGGGTGATTGTTTTGAGCTTTTAAGGTAAAGCAAAGAAAAAGGTCATTCTAGCCTATAGATCTAGTAATGCATCCTTGGAATATTTCCAAATAATTTTTTTCTCACTGTATATAATAAACATCTGTCCTAGGAGCTTTTAACAACACAAGGAAGCACAAAAGAAAAATATTCCTTATGTTTTTTTGCTTTCTTCATCTCTCCAGGAATTTGTTCTCTTTTAATTCACTGGTAGATGTCTTTCCAGAATTTTTTCCAGGCATATATAATCATGAGGTAATATATAGTGTTTTAGAACTACTTTTCTCAGTCATTCCATTTATCATCATTTTTTTGTATTTGCAAGTATTCCTTTTAATAGTTGTGGCACAATATCACAATGCCTGTGGTTGAATAATCCCCCGACCTAGTATTTTACTACTATAAATAATATTTTAATGAGCATTCCCTTTTTTTTTTTTATACCAAGGATTGACTTAACCACTGAGCCACATCCCAGCCCCCCCCCTTTTTTGTATTTTATTTAAAGACAGGGTCTCACTAAGTTGCTGAGGTTATCTTTGAACTCTCGATCCTCCTGCCTCAGCCTCCTGAGTCTCTGGGATTACCAGTGTGCATCACTGCCCCCAGCTCAGTGAGCATTCTTGTCTAAAGTGGATGGATCAAGGAATAGGAGTTAAATTATAAGCTAACCAGTATAATGTCAGATCATGCTACTCCTGTGTGAACCCCCAACCTCATGGCTCCCATCTTAGAGACCTAAAAGGCCCTATAACACCTGGAATGCGTGTGTGCGAACATACCTGTACGTACCCTTCCCTGTGTCCTCTCTACCTTATCTTCTCTCAATATTTTCCTTATTTGTTTCCCCAAATCTGTTCCTAAAAATACACTAGGCAAGCCCCATTTTGCCTAAGATCAAGGGCCTTGGCACTTGTCCTTCCCTTTGCCTGTAACACTTCCTTTTTGTTTTGGCAGTTTGGGCTTCAGCAGACAACTTACTTAGAAATTGTCAAGAGTATCTAAATACTGTTTATTAATTAAATCTAGTAAATATGAGCCTAACTTCTTAAAACTGTGGCTCTAAAAATTACAATTCATGTTTACACACTTAATCCTTATGATTTGTAGCATAAGAATTTCACATGATTAAATCAAGATCCATAATCCAAGTTTTAGAGAATTTAAATCCTAAAAAAACTAAATCCAAGTCTTGTACAAACTAGCACTTTGTACTGACATTTTACATGATGGTAAAAACAGTGAGTCAGCATAATTGTTTTTAAACTAAATTCATTTCAATTTGTCTAAAGGGATATCATCAGGAGTATTACCTGGATTCTTCTCTAATAAGACTCTCTAATGTTTATATTCAACAGACCTCCATATTCTTAAACCAAAAATTTAAATCACATCAAAAGGTTCTAGTTTTCCTGCCTTTCTTATCTTACAACATAGTAACCAAGGCCGTTATTCTAGTTCATGACTAACTTTTTTTTCTTTTCTGTTACTTTTAGCAAGAAAAATTTTTAAAAGCCAATATGAGTAAAGCTTGAGAAACTTAAAAAATCATTTGAATTTTATCTGGACTGGATAAGTATGTAAATAATACCTGAGTGCTTTTTTTGATTAATTCATAAAATTTTGCCAAGAATAGAGGAAAGGGGGAAAATGAGGAAGAACACCAGGCAAATCAGACTGGTGAAAGTTGATCTATCACCTCATAATTTTATAATTATAAAAAATAGAATTTTGCACTTACAAAAACAGTTGTAGGATTTTATAGTACTATTCATGTCAGTTTGAAGTGTTTTTCCTCCATCACTAAAGAGGATCCCTCTTGGGCTAAGGATCATTGTAATTTGAATCCTAAAGCCTATCATCGGGCCCCATTACTGTCATTTAGAGGCTTCTAGTTCTTTTGCTTTTTAGATAAAACAAATAATTTTTCAGTGATTATGATCATGATTGTTGTTGTTTGTTTGCAATGTACAATTTTTCATCTCATGGAGCCAGGAAAAGATGAATTTCTTGAATAGGTTCAAGGAGTTTTGGAATTTATGGGCCAGGGCAGGATTTGGAAAGTCTTTAACATTGGCACAAAATCTGGATATAGCCAGGATTAGATGTTGTATTATAAAATGTTAGGATCCTCTTCATATGAAAGCTGCAAGAAAAAAATTTTGGTATATAATACATAGATATTTTATTATATAACAGATGGAATTTATGAGGAATCATTGCATCTGTTTATTATGATGAAATCAAGTGAGATGGCTCTTCAGAAGCAATTTTGAGTTTGTTCTCTCTTGTAAGTGAAAAATATTCTTTTTGTTCTCTAATTTATTTAATACCTTGTTGTGTCTTCCAATAATCTTTTTCTGGGTACCTAGCATGACATACACTTTGTGTTCTTGCAGGGAGTATCAGTAATGAAAAGAACAGCCCAGGCTACAAAGGACTCTTCTTTGAAGCAATCCCTAGAAAATGGAACTCATCAAGATTCCTCTTATAAGTAAAAGGCAAAGACACCATAAGGCAGTAGACCTCAGGAAGCCCCCCTTAAATAAATATGAGGAATTTAGCTGCTTTTCTGGGGGGAGTGATGGGAAGTGGAGAATAACAGCAAAGTCACAAAGTTCTGGAAAACTGCTTTAGAAAGCTGCAATTTTAAGAGACTTTGCTTTAGTATGCTTATTTCCAAAGATGAGAGAGGAGGAGGGAAGAGAAAGGAGAGCTACAAATAGGAAAGTGTGGAATAAGTTTAGGGAGAAATGTAAGACAGGGTTGATGTTTTTCATAGTTTATTATTAGCATAGATAATAGAATCTCATACCAATTTTTTTCATTTTTTAAAAATATAATTTTAAGGCTGGGGCTGTGGCTCAGTGGTAGAGCATTGCCTGGCTTATGTGAGGCACTAGGTTCAATTCTCAGCAATACATATAAATAAATGAATAAAATAAATGTTCAACAACAAATGTTCAACAACATCTAAAAAAAATTTTAGAAAATAAATTTCATAGTCACAAGGAATTGTAAAAAGTAGCGAGAATCCCTATGTACCTTCACCCAGCATTCCTAAATCCTCTAATAGTAAAATCTTATATAACCTATATATAACCTCTACATTATCAATACCAAAAAACTGACATTTGTATGATACTGCCTACTAGCCTGGAGATGCATTTGAATTTTATCAATTACTTGTTTTCTCTCTACATATCATTCAGTGAAATTTAATCACATATATATAGATGCATGTAACTACCACAGTAATCCTGAACAAAATGATTTAATCACCACAAAGAAGCACTCGGGCTCCGTTTTATAATCATAACCCTCTCTACAAATGTAACCCCTGCCTGGCAACCACTGATCTGTTCTCCATCACCACAATTTTGTCTTTTTAATATATATATATAAGTGGAATCACACAATGCACATAACCTTTTTAGATTGGCTTCTTTTTGGTCAGGCTAACAACCTTGAAATTCTTTCAGTGTGTTGCATGTAGCAATGGTTTGTTCTTTTTTTACTGCCAAATAGTATTTGAGTGTGCGGATAAACCACAGCTTATCCATTCACTTATTGAAGGACTTTTGGGTGATTTCAAGTTGTCAGCTATTCAAAGAAAGTTGCTATAAATATTTATGTGCAGATTCTTGTGTGGACACATGTTCTCATTTCTGTAAATATCCAGGAGTACAATTTTTGAGTCTTACTGTCTACATTTAACTTTATTAAAAAAAAAACTGTCAAACTCTTTTTCAGAGCATTGTTTTGTATTCCCACTTTTGGTGTATGAGAGATCCAGCTGCTTTATGTTCTTATCAGGAGTTGTTATTTGTTTGTTTTTTCCATGTCATTCTAATAGGTATTTATATCATCATGACTTTAATTTGTATTTTTTCAGTAGTTAATGGTATTGAACATCATTTCATGTGCTTAACATTGAACATTTGAATAATCTCTTTGATGAAGTGTTTGTCTTTTTGCACATTTTCTACTTGGACTTTTTATTTTTTTTTTTTACTGTTGCTTTTAGAGATTTTTAAATTCTGAATATAAGTCTCCTGTCAGAATTATGAATCACAAATATTATCTCCCAGTCTGCACCTTGTATTTCATACTCTTAACAAGATCTTTCTTAGCAAAATGATTTGGTTTGATAAAGTCCAACTTATTGGTAGTTTTCTTTTATGAATCATGATTTTAGCATTATGTCTAAGAACTCCACCTAGCCTTGGGTCATAAAAATTCTCTGTAGTGTTATCTTTTAAAAGTTTGATGGCTTTACTCTTCACATTTGCATGAAATTTAATCATATAGAGATGCATGTAACTACCACAGTAATCCTGAACAAAATGAGTGGATTTTTGCTTTCAAATGTGACGTTTAGGTCAAGGTTCATTTTTAGCTAAGGATATCATTCTTCTAACACTATTTGTTGAAAAAAGAAATCCTTTCTCCTTAGAATTGCTTTTGCCTTTTTGTCAAAATCCATTGACTTTACTTACGTGAATTTACTTATGTCCTATTCTGCTGACATGTATCTGTCCCTCTACCAGGTACCTAATTGTCTTGATTTCTATAGAGAGAGAGCAATAATTTTGAAACTGGGCAGTGTGATTTTACTGATTTTCTTACATTTCCATAGTTCTCTTATCTACAAAAAAAA